GACTGGTTGTCACATTACAATTATGATCGATAATGTTCAGTCAGCAGTCAGGACTAGACAAGATGAAACTAGTTACTGTCACATAATCAATCAATATATCTATATATTAATGCTTGTTTTTTTTGGAGGAATAATGGGGGTAGTGACATCGAAGATGTCTAGATTTTTGAAGGCATTGCTATTCATACTACTCATATACATTGTTATAAGTAATTATCACTACAATAATTTTCAAATTTAAACATATTTCACTTTAAAAAGATGCTTAAAAGTTAGATCTAAATAAGGTTGTTGAGCATTTCACTCGTAACAAGTGAAACATAAGAACCTATAAGTCAATATCTAAAAAATAACTTTCAGAGAAAATTATACATTTATTAGTGTATCAAAAGAAAAGGCGTTATCAACAAAGTGAAAATTATTGTCATGACACTTTACACTGACTTCATATTAACAAAATATACAAAATGGATTTATTTTGACTTAGTGATAGATGAGTAAATTTTTCAACAAGAAAAAAATGTTGTCAAGTTATTAATAATTTTTTTTTTTAGTGGATAAAATTGATTTTTAATATTGTGAATCTGTATTGATTCAATTTATCAATCAGATATAATTCAATTGGATAACTTTCAATCATTGTCTCTAAATAGGGCATCCTCTTTGGCAATAGATGTTCAGTAATAATTGAAATCCTTTCTCCATTATATTAAAATCAATAAATTTGTATGTAAACACCCCCAATTTAGAGGTTCTAATAAAGTAATCAAAGTGTTAATACATTAAAAAAAATTTACAATAAATTTTTCAATTAAAATGTAAATTATTTCACTTTTTGTAATTTTTCATTATAAAAAGTCTGTTAAATAAACATTTTACTAAGAAAGATAATTTTTAAAACCAATTAAGTGGTTGTACAGAGAATCTTTACTCTTTCTGATGAACTCAAAGTAATATAATTCAAGGGTTTTAAGTCTTTTTAAGAGAATTTCGGGTCAAACACCATAGCGAATACTCCTTAAAGACTCACTGGAATAATCTAAATAATCGGTGGAAATAATTTTCGCGGTGCTATAATGTGTCCTTCTGTAAATGTTTCTTTTATATTCTTTAGTATAATCGCATTTATTATCATACTGTCGTTGATTGAACCGAATTAATCGGTCTCTATTGACATATAGGCTTTAGTGCAGCTGCCCCGATATTGCCAGCGTTCTAATTATGTTATTGATGGATTGTGGCTAGCAGGTGGCTCGTGGCTCGGTGGTGTAGCGGATGTAGCGGATGAGAACAACACCACTCACTGGGAGGCAGGTACATCCGGCTGACGAGTCCCAAACAGGATGAAATGTGCATCCTGGATTCCACTGCTAACCTCGATCCATCATTAACATAATTAGAACGCTGGTAATATCGAGGCATCTGCACTGGAGCCCATATGTCAATAGAGACCTATCAATTCAGTCCAATCAACTACGGTATTTTATATTCTTGTTCATAAATATGTATTAATACTGGGTGGTGATTGAAGTTCAAATGAAAATGGCGTTTCATCAATTGAGCTACACAGTTTGACTACCCAACTCACTCTTTATCTTACTCACACCGACCGCTTAGTCACGACTTCTCATCTCAAACCAAATCTAACTGAATCGGAGAGGTGGAGCATCACATTGATTGTTATCTTGATTATTTCACTGAGAGTTTCTTATTTATTCATAACGATGTCACCAGTATACATTTTTTTTAATCGTTAAGCAAAAGAGAAAGTATAATTTATCATTGCTGCATCATCATTGTAAAATTACAAGTTCATTTTCACAGACATGATCAGAACCATTGGCCAAATCATGTACTCATATGCTCAGAAACACTACCTAGTTTGGCTTTTGAGAGGTGCAAATAAGACTACTGTAAACTATATTATTTAACATTTGTTAAATTTCTATTATCTCATTCATCTCAAAACATCATTCAAGGTCCTACACAAAACCTGACTAAATCTCTCAAAAAGTGTGAATTTCTAGCATCTGTGTGCCGTTGAAGAATTGGCAAGGCACAGTTCAAGCCAATGATGTGTAGTCGAAAGAAACATATACTGTTACTTTCATTTTCCATAGAATTGGATAAGTAGCACTGCATTTCAAAGAGGAAATCTCCGTTCAAAAAAATCCTTTACATTTTCACCTTTCATAAGTGTATTGGTAACTTAATTTGAGCTTTCCACACTGTCTCACATATTACGCAATACTCCTTTCTAGACTCATCTTGACTTTTCTGCTGTTTATAATTTCAGACCAAAAGTACCACTTAGACTTATTACACTTTCAGTTAAATGTATATGCACATTAGGTCATGAAAGTAAGTTTGGAGTAAAATGATTACTTTTGCTTTTTTCAAAGGTTAAAATCAGTATAAATTAAATGTGTTCGACATGTACTGTACTTCTTAAAAAGTGATTATCAACAGCTGTTTATATAAAATAAATATCTGATAATTGGCATCATTGTGTATATCCAACGCAAACTCAGCTCATTTTGATATTAGTGATAAATACTGGTTAGCTTTGGTAACAAGAACAAGCATTCCAGCTTAGCTGTGACTCGTCAGATGAATGTAGCTGTCTCTTTGTGAGTGATGTTGGTCCAACTAAAGGTTAACTTCAGAATCCACCCTTTCCACTGTGAGTATAACTTCACAGGCACGGCGATAATCGTCTGAGCATACATTAGCATGACATCCAAGACGTTGAGAGCAAATTTTGAAAAATTCACGCTTTCGTATACTTTCATTTCTATCCTCTAGCATAATCTACGTTTAGCTAATATCTAAGTTTCTTTACAATCCCCTACAGTTATTCTCTTCACAATCTCCGCTTATTTTCTACAGACCTTAAACTCAAATATTCAGACCCGTCATATTGGCCTGTATCCTATATTCTTGTCTATAAGCCCTTATGTCGAAAGCTAACTGTGCAGTATGTTTGCCACCTGATGTTTGAATTGTATGAGACTGATTCTCTTGCACTACAATGTGTCTTCTTTTAATTACCAGTATCTAACTGACTGCTATTAACCTCTGAGATTGCTTACATTTCAAGAGATACATTGAGACTACGATTAAAGTGAGCAAGTACGGTGCGCAGCTGTGAAAAGAACAGTTTTCTATGCCTATTAGCTTTCTGACAATAGAAGTGATTAAATTCATGTATATTCCTAATAGCCCTTATTATTTTCTCAGTTTTCTCATAGTTCTTATTCATGCAGCTACCAAATCCGATCTTGAATCATTTTAGTTATAATATGAAGTGTTCAGTGCAACAAAGCGGTTGCATTATATCGTAGAAGAGAATTTGAGTTTAAGAATGAAATGAAATGGATTTCAGAAACGAAACCTCTGCGTCACTAATTATGGAACTACAGACACTAACCAATTTTCCAACACCAGTGTCAAGTCAGTGCTTCTATGTGACGTTTCAGAGACTTGGCGAGTTAAGAAAGGGATTTCCAACAAACTATAGATACTCATCAACAACTGCCCAAGTTGGCTCGTTCCTGAAGTTCAGATGGCCAGAATAGTAAGAATAAGCAACAAGAAACTCCGGATGGCGACGAAACAACCAAGAACCTGTCGTTCAACAAATATGAAGAAGGAAGTGGAGATGGAGATGGATTGGGCATATACTGAGTAGTTCATTCGGGGACACGTCGCTCCAGTCCAGCCCTCGAGTGGAACCTCTTATGTGAAACCACGAGTTTGGCGTTCGAGGCTAGGTTGACATGGGGGAGGTGGTGTGAGGAAGAAATGAGTGGTTGTGGGTTGTCGTGTAGCCAGGTTCAAAGATTGCAAGAAGAGAATGGAATGGAGACGTGCTACTGAAGCTGTATTTCTCCACTAGGAACCCAAGGGACAAATAATAATAATAATAATAATAATAATAGACACCAGCCGGTTACTGTTATTGCCTTAAACATTTGTATTCAAGCTTATTTCGCTTCAGTTATTTGCATAATACTCCATAAACCTAATAAATGAGTAAGCATTGGAGATAACATGTAATAAATTTATCTAACTACACTTAACTAATGAAGTAGAGGCTATAACTAGCATAATCAAAAAGTCGCCCCTAACGGAAGGTCAAAATTTATCTACGGATATTGAAAGGTATCCATGAATGATTTCTTTTCTTCTAAAGTGCGACATTCACTCCAATTAATAAGGTTCTTCGTTGAACGCCATATCCCACAGATGATTAGATTCCACTTGTTTGTATAGTTAACAAGTTTCAAGGGGCAAGAAATCTTGTTTCAGAGCTTTCTGCTAACTGGCTCCAACCAGCTGTTCATTGGTGACTAGCTGGAGGGGCAATTCCCGAAGTTCCATTTATAAGTCTTAACCGGTAAGACTAGTCAAGTCCAACTCAATTAAACGCAACCTAAATCAAGGTGATTCGTTTAATCTCTGAGAAACAGAAGCTGCTTTTCGATTAAGAAAGCTATTCGCTCTGTAGTCTAGAACTACTCTTAAAAGGCCTACCAATAAGTACATATCTTCTCTGATCTTGTTCAGGATTCCCAGAGAGGATAACAGAGGTGTGTTGAAAGCGCTTTAAAATGGATCTCTTTTGTGTTTTATATTTCTGAATGTTCTTAACCATTGTTAGCAGTTAAATCCGACAATTACATCTTCAGAATTACATGATAAGTGCCTTATCCTGGACGTTTGTGATGCCACACTAAGCTAGAACAAATGTTTACCCCTAATCTTTTGGTAACCTTGTTATTACTACTAACATTCATTGTGAAATTCTATTGTAGGCGTGGATCAACATTCCCCAACAAGTCAATGTTTGTTTTCAATCTTCAGTCATCAAAATATGATTGAAAGACGATCAATATTTATCAGTGATACGAGTGTAAAATCACAATTTCATTACTTGTAAAATACTCTTCATGAACTAGGTTGACGTTTTAAAGAGAAAACATTTGAAAAACATACCACCGGTCTCATATACATTATTATTCAATACATCATTATTCTTTTCAAGTTTACATTTTTTACACATAGTGTATTGTTATTGATTGAAATCTGATCCATAGCCTCCTTGACCAATAATTGTCTGTTGTATCCCATCATCAAAATAATTTGAGAAATCTTTATGATATGGATACTTGAAATTTGTACATGGTAATTCTTGCCCTGTTGTCGTCAACTTCATTGTATTATGTGATGAAGGAATATATATCTCAATTTTTCCGCTCTCTATCAAATCATTTTGATTATTAACAAGTCCATGAATGGTGTATTTATCATGATTACTGTTACTGTTAATAATATTATTATTGTTACTAGTATTATTATTATTATTATTGTGAGTAATATACGACCAATATTTGGGTGGATTTCTGCTTTCCATATTTAAATCAGGCAGAATAGGTGAAGGGTAAACATCACCATTTGGATAATTTAATAATTCCATACTTGAATTGCCTCCATTATTTGAGAATTGTGACAAACAATCAGGAATTGGATGTATAGCTAGAAAAAAATGAACAAAAAGTTTCAAGAGATTAACTGCCGTGATCAATTTAAGAAGCTACTACATGGATAGACACAAGAAGTGACTATACAAAACCTGAAAATAGATCCAACTGATGGTTGTTTTGGTATTTACTGATCATTAAGAACAAGATATTCAGCGAAGAGACTCTTTTCAATGAATTTATTTCCAAGCTGTACAATCGTATATATATGGTATTTGGAAAAAATTATATCCTGTGAGGAAAACTAAACACTATATGGTGATGACAATAATAATAGAGTGGGTGACGACATAGGCATTTATGATTATAATAACAATTGAAGTGTGAATGATAACAAATAGATTATGTAATATATGGAATGGTACATAGAGAGTATATAACTCAGAAGGGGGTGAAAAAATTGTTGAAAATGGTAAACCAATTAAGTATTATGTAATGGCATTAGACAAATTGGACAAGATGAAGTCAATGTTTTCTAAAAGGATTAAGACAATTAAGTGAAATAACACCGGAAACTAGTTGAAGTGAAGGCGATTATAATAACAATAATAGTGATAAAGGAAGGATACAAAGGTTAAATTAACAAAGTGGGAGGGGGAGCTAATGGGGTGGGGAAATGTTATGGCCATGATAAAGACAGTGACTGAACATACTTCTTTTGTACACACAGATCAGGTCTTAGTTCATGAATAGCTAAAGCCTCCACTGTTTTAAGGAGTTGAAAACGAAGAGAAAGTGGGAGGTTTGGGCGAATTTGATAAATAATTTCAAAGTCATCGTGTGGATTTGTTGTGTGATGGAAGTCAATCAAATGTTCTAGAATCGAACTTCTAACAGACTTTCTTTCACCTTTATAAAACCAAGCAGGAACATGTTCTCGTATACGTGTCGAAAGCATTCTCTGGCTACGGCCGATGTACCTTGCTCCACAAGAGCAGGTTAACTGGTAGATACACATAGAGGCGGCCAAACGAGGAAGCTTGTCTTTAACGCATGTACCATTGTACCATTTCATATATTACATAATCTATTTGTTATCATTCGCACTTCAATTGTTATTATCATCATAAATGCCTATGTCATCACCCTCTCTATTATTATTGTCATCACCATATAGTGTTTAGTTTTCCTCACAGGATATAATTTTTTCCAAATACCATATATATACGATTGTACAGCTTGGAAATAAATTCATTGAAAAGAGTCTCTTCGCTGAATATCTTGTTCTTAATGTTACAATGGGAATTATTAAATTATTTACTGATCAGCTTCAAAGTGATATTTATTATGACTTTAGAGCAACTGACTATACGGCTGTTTCACAGTAGCGTACATCATAACACCATAAGGGATAGAGGTCAGGATTATCATTTCTTGCCTTGATCATGTATTCATTTACCCACTGATATGAAGTTCCATGATCCTTATCTGTCTAACCTCCGTCAATTCGCTACATATTACCGCCATTATACAATGCAATCAGAAAGTGTTTGTGTCTACAACCGAGTTGAGTGAGTTCTAAGCAATTTACTGTATAATTCGAATGATGCATATCAGTTATTATGTTAATTATCAAATAGGATTTAGTTCAAAAATGTTTTTAAGTCTTTTGTAAAACGCTGTCGGTTTATTTACACTCAAATTCCCAGGAAATTAGACTAATTTTTAATCTAGATTTTAGCGGATAATGTTTTGTTGCTTAAAACGATGAGAACTCGCTTCAAGTCTCAATGAGAACAACGTCACTCACTGGGGTGAAGACATATCCAGCTGACGAGTCCCAAATAGAGTGAAACGCACATTTCAAATTCCAATGCTAGCCGCCATCAGACTATACTACTTTCAGTTATTTTTATAGAATATACAGTGCAGAAAAGAGAGATTCATATACTTGCACGCTAAGACACGAGAGGAAGCATATAAGTGAATTCAGTGGAAGGATATAATTCGACAAAGTTTTAGAAGCTGAGACTTTTAATCATATTATATTATTTAGAAGTATTATTCATCATGGACTGACATCAGTTGGGGAACCATTGAAAGTCTGGGAACACTGGATAGTTGTTTCGTCCTAGTATGGAACTCCTCGGCAGTACGCACCCATGACCCGGCTAGGGGTCGAAATCGAGACCCTCAGGTTTCAGGGCGAACGCTTTAACCATTCGGCCACTGGGTCGGTTTCCAATGGTTCACAATTTCCAACTTCTGTCAATTCACGACATAGCGCGACTGTCACCCAAGGTCTTCAGTTAGCATACACTTCACTTCCGACTGGTTGACCCCACAGGTCACGGCTTCTCATTAGAACTTCTTAATATCCATCTGGAAGCAAGTCACTAATGAGCACTATAGAGTAATGTATTTAAGAGACGAGTGGAGATTTTTAATTTAGAAGTAGTATTCACCATGGACTGACAGTCCATGAATACTACTTCTAAATTAAAAATCCCCATTCATCTCAAAAATATCATATTATTATTTATTTGTCCCTTGGATTCCTAGTGGAACCATATAGCTTCAATAGCACGTCTCCATTCCTTTCCCTTCTCTGCAGTCTTTTGAACCTGGCTACACGACAACCCACAACCACTCATTTCTTCCTCACACCACCTCCCCCATGTCAACCTAGCCTCGAACGCCAAACTCGTGGTTTCACATAAGAGGTTCCACTCGAGGGCTGGACTGGAGCGACGTGTCCCCGAATGAACTACTCAGTATATGCCCAATCCATCTCCATCTCCACTTCCTTCTTCATATTTGTTGAACGACAGGTTCTTGGTTGTTTCGTCGCCATCCGGAGTTTCTTGTTGCTTATTCTTATTATTCTGGCCATCTGAGCTTCAGGAACGAGCCAGCATAGGCAGTTGTTGATGAGTATCTATAGTTTGTTGGAAATCCCTTTCTTAACTCGCCAAGTCTCTCAACCATCACATAGCAGCACTGACTGGACTGAATTGGTGTTCAAAATGCGGATGTTGTTCATGCTTCATGCTGAGTACAGTGGATCTCCATACTTGTTTCAAGTCAACGAAAGCATGTCTTGCAGTCTTTCTGATCCTGGTTTTGACGTCCTCGTCAATGCCACCGCCGCCTGTACTTGAAACGATGCTTCCTTGCCTAGGCAGGTTAAAGAGGCTACCTCTTTTAATTTTCTCCCATTCATGGTGTTTGGAGCTTTTTGCTATTGGTGGTGGTGATGGTTAAGTACCTTCTTCTACTTCTAATTATAGGCTTAATATATTGCGAAAACCTCACCCCATTTTTAAAGTTTCTGGATGTTTTCAGAATGCGACTGAGTAAACCGTAAGTATTACTGTGAAGTAAACACAGGAGCGAAACAAGGCTGCCACCCAATATCACCCATGATATTCCTCAGTCTCGTCATCTCCATCATGCAACAAACTGTGAGGAGCGAAAACACGAAATACGCTGGCTGGACCACAGAAAATATCACCGAAAACCTAGATCTCGCCAACAATGACTTGTTTCTAATGTCACACAAACTCGAAGATCTACAGCAGAAAACTAACAAGTTCACAGAAGAGGTGAGGTGAGGCAGCGAAGGAACACGAGACTCCAAGTGAATGTGGAGAACACAGAAGTGATGAGGGTTTTCATTCATCAACACCACCACCACAACCAACAACAACAACACCACCACCACCAACAACAACACCAACAATAACAACAGGCACCAGTCAACATGAACTGCAGAAACTGAAAGGGAGTAGCCTCATTCACATATCTAGGCACCACTGTCTCAACTACAGATGGCACACGCACAGACGAGGGTGTCAAAGCAGTCAGGATCGGAAAGACAACAAGACTGGTGTTCATTAACCTGAAACCAGTGTGGAGATACACTCCACTCAGCAGTAAACGTGAACAACATCCAGATTTTCAACTCCAATTCAGTCAAGTCAGTGCTGCAATGTGATGGTTGAGAGACTTGGTGTGGTACGAAAAGCATTTCAAACAAGCTGCAGACATTCATCAACAACTCCCACCTACGCTGACTCGTTACTGAAGCTCAGATGATCAGAAAAGATAATCAACAAGGAGTTCACTCTGGTAACGAATCAACTAACAACCTATCGCTCAACTAGTATGCAGCGGAGGAAAGTGTAGATGGATTGGATTGGATTGTATTGGACATAGATTGAGAAGACCATTGAGGGACATCACGCGTCAGGCGTCAGGCGTCAGGGGAGGCGAGGTGAGGCACTCGAGTGGAATCCAGATGTGAGATGATGAGTGGGGCGTCGTGGCTGAGGGTGACATGGAGTAGGTGGTGTGAGGAAGGAATGAGAGATTGTGGGCTGTCGTTGAGCCAGGTTGGAGAGATTTCAGAGAAGAGGGTGAAATGGAGATGTGATACTGAATCCACTAGGAACCCAAGGGGCAAATCATAATAATTACTGTGTGGTCGTACAGATTCTACTGTTTACATATTTAACCAGCTTGCAATTTCTATTGTCTACATCCTCTTATCAACAGTTTATAAATGACTGTTTTGTCCAACCTAGATTAGAAATAAAGAGACTTAATTATACAATCGAAAAATTAAATAGAAATCGTTAGATTTTGAAGTTGTCAGTATAAAAAAACGAAGCATAAATTGTGTCAAATCTTACCTCTATATCCCCTAGAGATTTTACTAAATTCATAATTCTGTAACTGATCAATTTTTTGCCAACCTAATGGTGAATTTGATATTTGTGTTTCACATTGATTATTAATATTTCTTTCTATTGTAATATCAGAATGTTGAAAATTACGATTTGTTTTATTTTTATGTAGAAATATGAAAACAAAAGCTATAAGGATTATTGATATAATACATGCTGATATAATAATTCCAATAATGATATAAAAATTTAACATATTTCCACTTCCACCAAAATTAAAAAATCCACTGAAACCATTAAAATTATATACATCCATAGTGAGGTATGCTTTTGAAGTGGATTGATCAAATTCTATGATTAATTCAGTTATTGTAAAACGATATGGTAATCCACCATCTCTTGCTTCTATTCTAAGAATGTGTTCACCAATTGCTGAATAAGGAATAGGCTTGTTTATACTCAATACTCCATTGTTCTTATTTAATTTAAACCAATTTTTATCATTTCCAGAATGGATAAAATAACTAACTGTACCATTCTCACCTGCATCATCATCTATAGCCTGTACCTAAAAATAATAAAAATACAACTTGATTAAAAGCTATTACATATTTATACTATTTTATTAGTTATATATGATTGTATGTTTTAACTGTTGGTAAGTAAACTAAAATAAGATTATACTTAACTTTATATACAACATTGAATCATTGAACAGTTACCTTGAGATTACAGATAACAGATTCGAAAACTATAAAAGGCGGTTATACAAAATGTATATTACAAAATACAGTGACATATGCATATTTACAATGACTTTATGTATATAGTATTTAAAAGTATAATCCATAAGAAAATTAAGATAATTAGGGAAAGGAATAATATTAGTGATAATGATGATAGGTATATTAGTTTTGCTGGTAGACATTCTATCTTTAACATTTGATCGTTATCAACCACCAAACTGAAATGCTTATGAAATTCGTAAAAGTATTTGAAGTCAATTATCGCCCGATACTTTTAATTTCCCACTGTTATACTGAATGAAATTGCCTGACCTCTCTAGATAGATGGGCCCCTCGGTGGATCCCCAGTACTACCTGAATATTCATTGTGCTCTAATTTAGTTATAACACTGATACTCGTTACATATAAAGAGACCATCATAAAGCTTTACGATTAGAAGTGACTGATTTCAAGTTCGAGTCGCAGCGGCAACATGATCGTTCACTGGAGTAGAAGTATATCCAGCTGGAAAGTTCCCGATAGGATGAGACGAGCGTTTTGTATTTCATTGCTGGTCATCAAGTGAACTGTTTCATCAGTCTTCCATTCTCAGTTTTCAATAACAGCAGAGACTTCGGTTATTCGTGAAGTAAATCTTATCTTTGCCATCAAAATGGTGCAAAGGCAAAAGGTTTTCTGTAAACATTGATTTCTTCAAGTTGTACACTGGAGAAATAGCAGATTGTTAGACCTTCCACTTTATCAGGAAAGCAGTGTTTTGAAATCCACAAAATGATGTTTTTCGCTTCAAAGCGGACGACTTCACTATGCGTGTATTCGCTTTTTGCCCCTGTTGAGTTCACTACACCAGCTATACCATACCACAGCTAATGAAATAAGCTCATGAACGTTATTCAATCTAGATGGCACAAAGAATAGATAAATGCATCTTCAAGTCTATAACGGAAATCTTAAAAAAGACTCAGAATACTTGGATCCTCTTGGTAAGTAGTATAAATTATAAACAAGCTACTAGAATGGAGTAGGGCTATGAAATCTAGACAGAGCTAAAGTATTAGAAATTCATAATTTCAAATCATCATGTACGTTCAAAAGAACTAGGTACAAACTCTTCCTGTAGCATGACCATGATATACGACTGACCACCCTAGTTAGTCCCCTTATGAGGTGGTTACATTTAACTTCGTAATCATCTTTTTTACGATCCCCATTTTAAACCCCTACAAACATTAGGTAACTTCCTTTTGTTATGATATTTGTTTTAATTTTTGACCGTGAATTACTCTGAAGTGTTCCACTAAATCTACTATGCTTTCATCAATGTAGAGCTAAGATGATTTTCTCGAAAAAAAAGATTTTCCACAAAGGAAATTGTCTTCTCTCTATTCGGAAGATTGAATGAGTTTGTTCTAATACTAGGGAAATAGGAGTCAATTCATTCACATGAATGCGATAAAATTTTTATGAGGAGAAAGAAAACTCAAAGTGAGGGATTGAAGTAATCAAAAAAGAACTGTTCATACTACTTATTATCGTTGCGAACTACTCAAAAGTCCTGAACTTACACATCAGAAACAATTTTTAGGAAGAACCATATTGTCTTTATTTAGTACCTTAGTTCATGTTAATTTATTATTATTATGATTTGTCCCTTGGGTTCCTAGTGGATTCAGTACCACATCTCAATTTCACTCTCTTCTCTGAAATCTCTCCAACCTGGCTCAACGACAACCCACAATCTCTCATTCCTTCCTCACACCACCTCCTCCATGTCACCCTCAGCCACGACGCCCAGCTCATCATCTCACTTCTGGATTCCACTCGAGTGCCTCGCCTCGCCTCCCCTGACGCCTGACGCCTGACGCGTGATGTCCCTCAATGGTCTTCTCAATCTATGTCCAATACAATCCGATCCAATCCATCTACACTTTCCTCCACTGCATATTTGTTGAGCGATAAGTTGTTAGTTGATTCGTTGCCAGAGTGAACTCCTTGTTGATTATCTTTTCTGATCATCTGAGCTTCAGTAACGAGTCAGCGTAGGTGGGAGTTGTTGATGAATGTCTTCAGTTTGTTTGAAATGCTTTTCGTACCACACCAAGTCTCTCAACCATCACATCGCAGCACTGACTTGACTGAATTGGAGTTGAAAATCTGGATGTTGTTCACGTTCAATGTTGAGTGCAATGGATGTCCACACAGGTTTCAGGTTAATGAACACCAGTCTTGTTGTCTTTCCGATCCTGACTGCTTTGACACCCTCGTCTGTGCGTGTGGCATCTGTAGTTGAGACAGTGGTGCCTGGATATGTGAATGAGGCTACTCCCTTTCAGTTTCTGCAGTTCATGTTGACTGATGTTTGTTGTTGTTGTTGGCGGTGTTGATGGTGGTGTTGATGGTTGGGTATCCTCATCACCTCTGTGTTCTCCACATTCACTTGGAGTCCCATCTTCCTTCGCTGCCTCACCTCACCTCTTCTGTCAACTTGTTAGTTTTCTGCTGTAGATTTTCGAGTTTGTGTTACATTAGAAACAAGTCATTGTTGGCGAGATGCAAGTTTTCGGTGTTATTTTCTGTGGTCCATCCAGCGTATTTCGTGTTTTCGCTCCTCACAGTTTGTTGCATGATGGAGATGACGAGAATGAGGATATCATGGGTGATATTGGGTGGCAGCCTTGTTTCACTCCTGTCTTCACTTCGGAGGCATCACTGAGGTTTCTATTATGAATTACTTGGCATATTGCGTCTTCCTATAAATGTTGAATGAGATTCATGCTAATTAGAGAACTCGAATAACTGGAATAAAAAACATGGGTTATTACAGTATAGCTTACGACAAGTGGTTAACAGAATGAAATTTTCTATGCTTCTACTTTGAAACTCATATACATTAAGGTTGTGGCAGTTGTGTTATTTTTCTCAATAACCTGAATATGTTGTATAGCTTTGGTAAAAATATATTTATGACTAGCCTTTATATACTTCATCTCACATTCTTGAATGTCTTCACAGTAAACATTTCAGACAAGAATAATTTTAAAGGCGTTTCTAAGGATAAAATACTTATAACTTCTAAGTCAATACAGCTGTCTGTTTAAGTGATTGAGCACTGATTCAAGAATTCCTAAGAAAGGGAAAATTGTAATGGCCGCAGGTTTGATATATTTTCACAAGTAATTAGTAATGTTTGCAAGCTGTTAGATAGGGTGTAGTTAGAGAGTTCTTTCCGTATCTTTGTATCTTTTCTTCTTATGATAAGTTGCGTGTCAAAGTCGAACATTTTTGGATATAAATGGGCCTATTATCCTAATTAGTTTTCTTTTACCCTTCACTTCCGAGTTTTTTTAACATACACTATTATTATAGTTAGCAATAAGCTTACCTAGACGCACATAAAAGCTTTAAATCCCTGAAGCTTTTCACAAACAATCCTGTAGCTTCAAGGTGTCGAGAGGAAAAACATCAACATAATTGTCATTATATTGGCCTTACTTAAAGTAAATTTCCTATGGATTTCACCGGTTCAACTAATATGATATTATTACGTATGTTTATGTGCCTTTTCTCAACACTTCAAAGCAACAGGATTGGTTGCAGAAAGCTTCAGGGATTCAAAGCTTCTTATGGGAATTTGGACAAGCTTATTATAAACCATTATACATATATATATATATATATATATATTATTATTATTATTATTATTATTAGTCCCTTAAGTTCCTAGTGGAACATAGGCTTCAGTAGCACGTCTCCATTTCATCCTGTTCTCTGAGATCTTTTGAACCTGGTCCCACGACAGCCCACAACCTCTCATTTCCTCCTCGCACGACCTCCTCCATGTCACCCTCGGACGTCCAACTCGTCGCCTCCCATGGGGATTCCACTCGAGTGACTGGCCTGACGCGCGATGTCCTCAGTCGGCCTTCTCAGTGTATACCCAATCCATCTCCATTTCTTCCTGCATATTTGTTGGGTGATAGGTTCTTGGTTGGTTCGTTCCCAGAGCTCCTTGTTGCTTATTCTCATCACTCTGGTCATCTGATCTTCAGCAGCGAGTGTAGGCAGTTGTTGATGAATGTCTGTAGTTTATTGGAAATACCTTTCATAACGCGCCAAGACTCTGAGCCATACAAGAGCACTGACTTGACGTTGGTGTTGAAAATCCGTATCTTGTTCACGCTTTATGCAGAGTGCAGAGGATCTCCACACTGGTTTCAGGCTAATGAACGCCTGTCTTGCTTTTCCGATTCTGACTTTGACGTCCTCCTCTGTCCTGCCTGTAGTTGAAACAGTGCTTCCTAGATAAGTGAAGGAGGTTACTTCCTTTAAGTTTCTCCCGTTGATGGTGATTGGAGTTTGTTGTTGTTGTTGTTGGTGGTGCGGTATCTTCATCACTTCTGTCTTCTCTATATTCACCTGAAGTCCCGTCTTCGCTGCCTCTTCTGTCAACTTGTTAGTTTTTGCCTGCAGATCTTCAAGTTTGTGTGACATTAGGCACAAGTCATCGTTGGCGAAATCCAAGTCTTCTAGGTTCTTTTCCGCAGTCCAGCCAGTGTATCCCCCACTTCTCGCTGCCCACTGTTTGCTGCATGATCCAGTCCACCACAACACAATCAGGAATATCATGGGGGATAGTAGGCGGCAACCTTGTTTCACTCCTGTCTTCACTTCAAAGGCATCACTGAGCTTCCCATTGTGAATTACTTGCAGCATGTGGCATCTTCATATAGTTGTTGAATGAGGCGGATAAAGGTTTGCGGTACTCCGTAGTATTGAAGCAGTTTCCAAATTACTTCTCGGTAGACGCTGTCAAAGGCCTTC